TTAGGCGGTCATTTATTTAGGTGGTCATTTATTTGACTACATCTGGGAGGATAATGGAAAAGATACTCCTTATCATGGTAGGATAGTAAACATATTTGATAGGAAAAAGTCTGGTTCAGTTGATAGATTTATTACAGTCAGCTACTGGAAACTGGATGAGGATGAAAGAGTAGTTCTGACTTTGAAATGCCACTAACAGATTTTATAACTGATCTAGTTTTAGGTGATCTTGAATTGCATGGTTCAGTTGATAGATTTATTACAGTCAGCTACTGGAAACTGGATGAGGATGAAAGAGTAGTTCTGACTTTGAAATGCCACTAACAGATTTTATAACTGATCTAGTTTTAGGTGATCTTGAATTGCTTGATTAATTTAAATACCCCTTTCCATCAACCTAGAATACCATATGCATTTTGAAATTAATCTGAATTTATAACTGCAGGGTCTATATCTTATTTCATTAATTCATATTAATATTTAATTACATTTTTTCAACACTTGAAAATATTAAAATTTATTCAAAATATATATAAGCTGTGATATCATTTGATCTGTCCACATAATTTAACTTTGTAAATATTTTGATCACTGCATTTATTTAATTTTATGTGAATAAAATATTAAAAAGAAATCATAAATGCAATTAGTAAAAGATAAAGAGTGTAGTATGATGTGGCCTTGGTAAAAGAATACAAAAGCCAGGAATGGTAGGAAAACATTTAACATTTCGTGTTATTTTAGTTGTTCTGAAACTAATTTTTTTTTTTTTGCAGCACAAATTGCTGAAAAAATCAACTAATAACTATTGATTTACACCATTGATTCATTACTGATTGAGAATGCCATGCATGGTTACTTGTAAATTCATGAAAAATAAATTGTATAATTGGTACCCTGTACCGATTGTTACATTGTTCTTGCTGCATGTTGTTGTGATATTGTTTTTTCAGATATTATATTTATATATTAAATATACATATTATTTAAATGGGTAATTAGTCAGACATAAATATTTGTTTTTAAGACCAGAGGTAAGCGTGGCATATTTTATTTACACAATTAAAAGTATTATTTGTTGTGAAATCATAACATGGAATATTTTAAAATTTGTAAATAGGCATGCTTAACATTGAATAAGGGCATGTTTAATTAAAATTGCAGCATCACATTGCATGCACTGATTTTTACAGTGGTAATTTAATCCAGTTAGATTGAATTATTATTATTTTTTTAAAGCTAAGGTTTTTATTTAAAAGAATTTTTCGATTGGGTTGGTTTTTAAATAAAATTGATACATAAGTCCTATATATAGCTAAATACAAACATTGCATGAACATTTTCTGTATTTAATTAATTTTTAAGAGAATCCTTAATATATTAAAAGAATTTTTCGATTGGGTTGGTTTTTAAATAAAATTGATACATAAGTCCTATATATAGCTAAATACAAACATTGCATGAACATTTTCTGTATTTAATTAATTTTTAAGAGAATCCTTAATATCAAGTCTAATTCACCTTAATTTTACCTCACATAGGTTGAAAATAAAAAAGTTATGATTTTTTTAAAGAATTAAATTATTGCGATTTTGTAGACTATTTGGTAAATTTGAATAAAATTAATTTAAAAAAGGACTCTTCTGAAAATGTTCTCTATTTTTTTGTTTTTCTATGAAGTATAATGATAACGAAGCTTCCCTGTTAATTAGAGATTTTTTCATTAAGTTTTGACATAGTTATAGCTGAAAATCAAAACAAAAAAATAAGAAGGTACCAAAATTGTGAGAAAAATGCATGTTAAAAAATGACAAAAATAACAGTTATTAAAAAATTCATAACTATAAAACTAAAGTAGCTAAAAATGGGATTTTGGTGTCTAAATTCGGTTAACAATGAGCTCTATTCCATTATGTCATTGGTTCATTAAAAAAAATATATATTTTTTTCCACCAAAGTACCTAGATTAAGTGATGTGATGTCAAATTAAAATAACATTATGGCAAATATTGCACTTAACTTAACTTTATATTTAACCTATTGTTAAATAACAATAACTGAGAGAATCAGGATTTAGTTTAGTTTTATTTTTCTATTAAATTAATTTAACTTTCTAGAAACAAGAAAAAAATTACCAATAAAATAAATTTGTGAACAAAATTTACCAGAAAAAAATCGTTTACTGCTACTAGCAAAATGCATAACTACTATTTTTTTTTTTACAAGGCAGCAACAACTAGCTATGGCATAAAATAGATTTTTCTGGGTCTACAGCACCTGAGGGTGCTTTCAACCCTGGTTAAGAATTACTGTTTCTAGGGAGAAGTTTCTGACACAGGTCCAGTTACTTCATATCCATGGGAGGTGATTTTATTTTTATAAGGGAAGGGGTGCAGAGGTTTGTTAAGTTATATTTCAATGGTGGGTCTAAATTTTTGTGACATTTTATGACAGTGCGGGGAGGGGTAAAAAAAACAAACTGTAAAATTAGTGTGAATTTATTTATGTATTGGAAAATATTTTCATAATGAAATTACAGATTTAAGACCTAGATATTATTTAGATAGGGCTTGAAAAAAACCAATTGATTTGATACCAAAGTTATGATTGTAATTTTATTCTAAAGAAAATAATGATCACTTTCAAGAATTATTTTAGCATAGCTCTGTTAATTGAGACAAGTAAGAAAATATTAAAGTGAATAATACAAAAACTGGGTAGAGACTTTTTGAGAGAGCTGCCACTCCTTGGTCATATGATTTGTCTTATTTTCAATCTTTAATTAACAATGGTATCCAGGGAGGAAATGTACCAGGTCATCATACCCATGTTGTCACTGTTTTAAAACTTAAATAAAATTGTTAGGGTAGGGTGGGGAAAATGAATTATTTTCCATTCATGTAGATAAATGGATGCATTATACAGTGGTTATCATGATAATTGCGACTGATGGAGAATGTTCGAGAAATTAAAGACTAGAGCTACGCTTATTCAAATAGATTAATTAAAAAACGGGACAACACAGTATTGTTCAGCATTCAATTCTCTTAAAATGATATATAACACAACTTATTTTTACAAAGAATTGACTGCGAACCACATTTTTCCCCAATGCATATGCAATGTTTTTTTACATTTTCAAGTGGACCAAAAATTGAACAATGGGCATGTAACTCTGCAATGATTTGTCACTAAAAAAAAATTATTTATCCAAGTAACTAACATTACATACTAGCTAATGTAAAAGGCTGTAATAATTAAAATTATCTATTGTATAAATTGCAGAACTTAGCTTCCACTGAGTTAGCATACATGGCTTGTCACTTTTGAATATTTACTGAATATTATTGCATACAATGTGATTCCATTTATAATGTGAACCCCTAACTTTTTCCTCTGAAAAAATTCTATGTCCATGTATAATACGGTCTGTTAAGATTGTACCATAAACCTCTTTACCTCCTGGAATGATGAAATGATAAATTATTTTTTAAAATTTAACTCAACAACTTTGTAAAGACTGATAATATTTATTTCCATGGATTTGAATTCAATACACTAATACTTAAGGAATCAGCATTACTAGAGCTAGTATACTTAACTGATGAAATAACATGTTACATCAAAATTGTTATCATTTTCCATCATATGAGTCCATTTTTGTCAAAATTTCTTTTCTTTACTGTAAAACCTCCAAATTTAAATGAAATTTAGACTGTAATTGAATTGTTTTAATTTAAAATTTGGGATTTATCCATTTAAGAAAGAAGTGGAGATATTAGAATTCTCCATGCAGCAAATGAGAGGACATTCATACATTTGTCTTTTTGCCATGTTTAAATGTTAATAAAAAATTGCTCAAACCTTGATGCCCATAAAATGTAAATCCTAACTTTAAGTAGTATTTCTTTACCCTAAATTTCTTGCATAAAATGTCATAATATATCCAAAGTTTATTTCCCCTCATATTCTTCACTTTCTCAGGTTTGGTTTTAGGCCTACTAATTTGATCATTTAAATTTCTCACACTGAAATTACTTGCTCATGTTTTGACTTAGGCTACCACTGTTAACTTTGTTTTGCCTTAGCATAGAGTTTGGACTTAGGCTACTACTTTTTACAAAGTTTGGACTTAGCATAGGGTTTAGACTTAGGTTACTAGTTTTAACTTTGTTTGGCCTTAGCTTAGGGTTTGGACTTTGGCTACTACTTTTTATAAAGTTTTGCCTTAGCATTGCCCAACTTTACAATTATCATTTTTATTAATATAATTTTTGATGTCACAAGATAATGGTCACTGAGTAGGTTGTCATGAATAGAATTTAAAATTTTCAGTTTAGGTACTTTGATAATATTGCTAGGGAAGATATGTATCTTTTAAATCTAGTTAAAGAGAAGTTGTAGTCCTCACCATTTTATATGTGGCGACTCTTAATTATCACCCTAAATAAGAGCGGACACATATGAAGTGGTGAGGATGAAAACTTCCCTTTAATTAGATTAAAATATTAATATCACCCTAAAAAATTGATTTTTTTAATTCACGAGGGCTTTAATTTTTATAATTGAATCTTTGGTACTGGGACCCATATATTTTGATGTGATTTGTTTGTACCTTATGGCTGTTAAAATGATCCAACCTGTTCTGGGAAGAATAACACTGTTAATGTTTTAGTGCTTACTGATCACTGTACTCACATGTTTTGCTGAAATCAATTTTGTTTGCTTTTTATTATCCTCAACAGAAGGACAAAGACACAGTTTTAGATTTCACCAGTCACTTCACAAGTTTTTATGCCATTTTTCTTGATATTGATTTTGAGCACCTCGCTGAAGGGTAATTTTATTTAATTTTTTTGTTGCTGTTGTATTGTGTAATGCAAACTGCACAAGTAGCTTAGATGTAATATGTAAAATGTTATTTAAAAAAATAAAAATAAAGATTGGTCCTTGGTCAGGTTGCTAAAAAATGTAGCGAGGACATCATCAAAGATTTCAATGTGGAAAGCCTAGACTTGATGGCAGCAATTTTGAAGTGCCTTGTCATTATATGCAGGTAATTTATAACTTGCCATCTTTGGGGGATAAAACTCATTTAATTTTGTTAAGTTTCATTTTCAAGACATAGTGTTGGAATAGTGGTGACCCCATGTCAAGTTGATCACTGATTGGCCTCTTTGGTGGTTAAAGCTTTTAGCTCTTGAGTTTTCCTCCTCCCCAAGAATATCTAAGTCCATTTTCCTCAGTTATTTGCCCACTGGCAACTCTTTACCTCCAGGCTATGAGGCAGGAGTGCCATATTTGCATCACAAGAGCAGTATTTTCTGCTTGTGCATTTCCTAACTTACCCGGCGCAGAGCGGTCAAGATGATACAAACAAATATAACATATTTTTTAATAATGTTTTCAGAAATTATGATAATGTGTTGTTGGTAGCATCCTGTGATTTTGTCAAACAAGCCATAACAATTGCTCAGGCTGTGCTTTCCAAAGTCAGTTACTTCTTGTTTTGGTTTTCCATTTCTTTTTCTCACAGCTAACTTCAAACTGGGTTACTTTTTTAATGTGGTGGTTTTGCGATATATAATTATGTTCCAAGGGGTGCAGCATGCGTTGCCACAACGACCCACATGCAGGGCAAGAAATATATTCCTAAAGTTTGACATTACTGAGGTCACAGAAACCCTGCATTCCATTCATTTTCTCTCCTGTAGCAGTTTTTAAAAAAAGTTCTCATTGGATACAAAAAAAAAAATTATTTATCCCTACCTACATTATTGGCTGTCGCTGTTGTGGAGACAAAAACATCTTTAAAGTCATTTTACAATAACAGATTATTACTGTCTGGGAACAAATCCACATAAAATGTATATACTTTGTGTGTGTGTGTGTTTAAATTGACTGTCTTCAATTATTCTGTGTACAAAATATTTGTCCATTCGTCAAGGTTCTCTAAATTTCAGCTGTACAACCAGACAGAGCAAAGTTCAGAGCCAGATTTCACAGCAGAGAAGGTGGTTGACTTTGTCAAGCTGGTTCTTCATTTCTTGGAGTGTTTATATGACCACTATTTGGTTTGGAGGAAAAGATTGAAAGGGTAACTAAATGTCAATTTTTAACAACCAATTGGTAGGTAGGTATGGAAAGGGGATCGTGAACTTTTGAACTTGCAGACAAGCAGATCATGAGGAAAATACCTATGTGAAAGCTTATCTGGAGCTCAAAGCATGAGTTTGTGACAGTACATTTTAAGTTTGTGCAATGCGGTTGAAAAGTGTATTTTGTACATATAAAAGGAATTTACATACTAAAACATATTACATTTAGTTTCCTATAAAAGTAATGAAATTAAAATTAATCCCACTTTTTTTTAAAAACTATGAACTTGTTTTTCATATCTAATTTTTCGTTTGTTGTCCTGATGGGTAGTTTAAAAAAATATTCAAATTAATAATGAAACAAACCATCATCAAGAGATTTTACCTTTTTTTTTCGCCCCAGATGGCTTGTTGATGTGGAACAGTTGTTGTCAAAGCAAGCTTTAGTGCATAATGAAGTCATTCCATTTTTCCATGGTAGGTGTGAGTGTGGCCATTTCAATTTTCCTTTTTCTAGCAGTTTATTTGTTAATAATTACCGCTTTCAACATTATTGTAAAATGTATTTTAAGCAGATTATTTAACTTTTAATTATAAGGGAGGGGCTTGGTGTGGTGTTGATATTTCTTCTTCTTCTATATCTTAAAGGCCCACGATCAATTTATTGATCATTTTGGCTCCTATGCATGTAGATGGGATTTGCAATCTTTCTGTTCCTGGTGTTGATGACGAAATTTCACTAATTTCCAGTGCCACTTTGTGAGGGAATCATGCTCTAGGGGTTTGAGGCAATAGACACAAATGTGTCTAGTGTTGTCGCCTCAACTGTTCCTTTTGAAAGATTGTTCCAGTCCCTGATTGTCTTGGGCAGGAATGAGCAGCTCCTATACTGGCTTCTTGCTGGTATGAGCCTGAATTGCCTGTCATGGCCTCGTCGCTGTCTATGGGGGAGAGGGACGAGTTTCTGTTTAATACTGGAACAGTGGACCAGCCCATTATTTATCTTGTACATCATGGAGAGCCTGGATTGTCGTCGTCGTTTCTCCAATGGTGACCAGCCTAGTGTTTCTAGCATGCTGCCAACACTAGAGGTATTCCTGTAGCGGTTTAGGACAAAGCGTGCTGCTCGTCGCTGGACCGCCTCCAACCTGTCAATGCTCTTCTGGGTAAATGGGTCCCAGACTGAAGATGCATAATCTAAAATCGGACGGATAAAGGCTTTATATGCTCTTTCTTTCACACAGGAGTTGCCAATCTTTAGATTTCGCCTTAAGAACCCCAAGGCTTGGTTTGCTTGGTTACATACATTGTTAATATGCTCGTCCCAGCGGACCTCTCTTTGAATGGTAACACCCAGGTACTTTACGGAGGAAACTTGCTCAAGAATATGGCCGTGCAGTTTGTATTGGTAGTGTAGAGGAGTACAACTTCTAGAGATTGATAGTGTCTGGCACTTGGCAGGGTGAAATTCCATTTATCGTTACTTGAAAAGGGGACAAAAACTCAAATAATGGTTTCCTGTTTTTATCATTTCCCTCATTACCCAAAATTGTGAAAAACAGACCTGTTTACCCTCAAACTCTTAAAAACATTCAATATCACATAATTGTTCAATACCTTATATTTATAGTAAAAAATAAACATACAGTATATATATTGTATACACCTCAAAAAATACAATGTATGCCAAAATCGTAAGAGTAAACAGGTCTGGAATAATTTTGAAATGGTTTGCTAACATGCAAGTCTGAAGGTATGAGGATTGAAAAAAAAAAGGTCAAAATAATTTTTTTATAATGCTGTTTATTTTTTTTTCAGAATGTTTTCAAAAACCTCATCTTTCACATGTATTACAGCTGAGACTCCTGCATATGTTTGGTGCAGTAATGTCTGGTTCTCAGGTACTATAGTGTCTTTAAAAGAAGCCTCTTCATGTTTATTAAAAAAAAAAAATTGGATGTTCTATAAGATGCAAAATAATGGATGATACTTGTCATTTCATTAAAAGTCTTGAGATTTTGACTTCATTTAAATATGATAAGTGACTTTGATTTTGACTTCATTTAAATATGATAAGTAACTTTGATTTTGACTTTGATCATAAAAAATATTTTCAGCTGGTGCATAAAATAATGTTTTGTTTGAACAACCCACGATCAATTTATTGATCATTTTGGCTCCTATGCATGTAGATGGGATTTGCAATGTTTCTGTTCCTGGTGTTGATGAGGAAATTTCACTGATTTCCAGTGCCACTTTGTGAGGGAATCATGCACAAGGGGTTTGAAGGCTTGAGGCAATAGACACAAATGTGTCTAGTGTTGTCGCCTCAACCGTTCCTTTTGAAAGATTGTTCCAGTCCCTGATTGTCTTGGGCAGGAATGAGAAGCTCCTATACTGGCTTCTTGCTGGTATGAGCCTGAATTGCCTGTCATGGCCTCGTCGCTGTCTATGGGGGAGAGGGACGAGTTTCTGTTTAATACTGGAACTGTGGACCAGCCTATTATTTATCTTGTACATCATGGAGAGCCTGGATTGTCGTCGTTGTTCCTCCAATGGTGACCAGCCTAGTGTTTCCAGCATGCTGCCAACACTAGAGGTATTCCTGTAGCGGTTTAGGACAAAGCGTGCTGCTCGTGGCTGGACCGCCTCCAACCTGTCAATGCTCTTCTGGGTAAATGGGTCCCAGACTGAAGATGCATAATCTAAAATTGGACGGATAAAGGCTTTATATGCTCTTTCTTTCACACAGGAGTTGCCAATCTTTAGATTTCGCCTTAAGAACCCTAGGGTCTTGTTTGCTTGGTTACATACATTGTTCATATGCTCGTCCCAGCAGACCTCTCTTTGAATGGTAACACCCAGGTACTTTACGGAGGAAACTTGCTCAAGTATATAGCCGTGCAGTTCATATTGGTATTGTAGAGGAGTACAACTTCTAGAGACTGATAGTGTCTGGCACTTGGCAGGGTGAAATTCCATTTATCGTTACTTGAAAAGGGGACAAAAACTCAAATAATGGTTTCCTGTTTTTATCATTTCCCTCATTACCCAAAATTGTGAAAAACAGACCTGTTTACCCTCAAACTCTTAAAAACATTCAATATCACATAATTGTTCAATACCTTATATTTATAGTAAAAAATAAACATACAGTATATATATTGTATACACCTCAAAAAATACAATGTATGCCAAAATCGTAAGAGTAAACAGGTCTGGAATAATTTTGAAATGGTTTGCTAACATGCAAGTCTGAAGGTATGAGGATTGAAAAAAAAAAGGTCAAAATAATTTTTTTATAATGCTGTTTATTTTTTTTTCAGAATGTTTTCAAAAACCTCATCTTTCACATGTATTACAGCTGAGACTCCTGCATATGTTTGGTGCAGTAATGTCTGGTTCTCAGGTACTATAGTGTCTTTAAAAGAAGCCTCTTCATGTTTATTAAAAAAAAAAAATTGGATGTTCTATAAGATGCAAAATAATGGATGATACTTGTCATTTCATTAAAAGTCTTGAGATTTTGACTTCATTTAAATATGATAAGTGACTTTGATTTTGACTTCATTTAAATATGATAAGTAACTTTGATTTTGACTTTGATCATAAAAAATATTTTCAGCTGGTGCATAAAATAATGTTTTGTTTGAACAATTAAATACAAATTTTTACAAATATTTTGTCAAGTTAAAAAAAAAAAAAAAAAAAAGAGCAAAATTTCAAATATTTTATTTCACAATACCGGTAATTTATATTTAAAAAAAAAATTTCAGACCAATGCAACACTTACGGTGACCCCAGCGACCCTTGATGTTCTGCTGTCATTGTTATCAGGGAGAGCTGCTTGTTGTGCCAGCATCAGTGACCGGGACAGGGTAGAAATACAACGCATGGTCCTACGCTGTGTTGTTATCATGATTCACAAAATTCACAGCTGCAGCCCCGATGAGGTCAGTGCATGGAAAAAGATGCCATTGGCTGTTTTATGCAAAAATACTCAGGGTGTTATAATATTGCGCAATGAGGAATTGTTATTTTTTAAAATCTTATTCAAAAGGGTTTAGTTTTCTGCGTCAGCTGTTTTGAAAATGAAGTGAGTATAAATAAATAGCACAGAGCTGTAGAACATTTGCAAAAGACAGGACAGAAGGTTCACTCAATGGATGTTCCTTCTTTTCTAGTCATACAACTTGATTGCAGTCTCCACCATGGTACTCATTTAAAATGAAGTAACATGATTTAATGCAGTTAATATGCATCTCTTTTTATTTTTTAAACAAAAAAGAGCATCTCGCATTGTTAATCTGTTGTTTAACAACAATTTGTTCAGATTTTTATTGCTGCTTTAACATTAACATTTTCTTTAACTGAAAATCTCTGAAACATTCACAATTTTCTCCAAACATAGACAATATTGATATATATAACAAAAGATCATTTTATATAAACCTACAAAGAGTAATTTAAATTATAATTTTTTCATAGGCACACACACACACACACACACACAGCTTGGGTGTGGTGTAAAAATATGTTTTAATTTCATTCTTTACTTCTTACCTGTCATCCCTTCAGAAATTTTTCTGTAATAATTTTATATTTCAGTTACAAATTGAACCTCGTTACTTGAAAAGGGGACAAAAACTCAAATAATGGTTTCCTGTTTTTATCATCTCAGCGCCAGGTTGAGGTTCCCGAGGTGTTTTCCAGCTACATGCAAGTCATGCTGGGGATCAGCTCAAAAGTCCAGGAGCCGGAAATACTTATCTTAATTGTTGGTGGGTCCTGCAACTGAAGGATTCCGTGCTTTACATTTAATTTATGATTATAAAGTTTTTAGTTTGAAGTGACTTTGACTTGTAGTTAAATTTTGGACCTATTAATGGAAAGAGAGTCGGTGGAGCTCAAAATGTTAAAGTCCAGAAATCTATGTTATAGATAAATGCAGATTTATCAAGACACGAGAGACTTGACAACATACTTGGGCTGAAGATTTCTTG